GGAATGCCGTTCCAAGCCACATCCAAACCTGACACAAGAGGAGAAATGCGTACCCCTCTAGCCACATTTATGCATTGAAAAAAAAAATTATTTCTTTATTGGCTGCACTGTGGCATGAGGGAGATTAGTTCCCTGACTAGGGAGCCAGCCCATGCCCCCTGCAGTGGAAGCGCGGAGTCCTAACCACCGGACCGCCAGGGAAGTCCCACGTTTATGCCTTTTTATTTTTATTTTTTGATGGAATAAAATGTTCTCAGCTTATCCTTTTCTAGCTAATGCACTTTTAAATGATTATTTTCTGAAGTGGCTTTAAAAAATATTGAGTTTGCTTCCACCAAAGCCAGGAGAGTAAAATGAAAATGAATTCTGTTTATTTTTTGTATAAATAAAATATTTAAACTTAAAATAATGTTGTGAGTTTTAGTAATCTACTTTTTTGTTTGTTTGTTTTTTGCGGTACGCGGGCCTCTCACTGTTGTGGCCTCTCCCGTTGCGGAGCACAAGCTCCGGACGCGCAGGCTCAGTGGCCATGGCTCACGGGCCCAGCCCCTCCCTTCGCGACATGTGGGATCCTCCCAGACCGGGGCACGAACCCGTGTCCCCTGCAGCAGCAGGCGGACTCTCAACCACTGCGCCACCAGGGAAGCCCAGTAATCTCCTTTTAAACTTTTCAATATTTTTTCAGCTATGTTCATAGCGTGGAAAAAATGAACCATAAAAAGCCATAAAAACGTTTTGAGCCTTTTGCCTCCAATTATCAGGCAACTTTCACTGTTGTGAGAACTGCATGCCAGGCGTGGATTGGGATGCTCTGTGATGATCATAATAGCAAGTTATATAGCAGGGTAGGTTCATGTTTCAGACTTCAACACGGCTCCCCTGGGCACAGCTGGATTCTGTCTTTGTTTAAAATCTTGATATTTTGTTCCCTGTAAATGTGTTTGCATTCATTTTTATTTTAAAATTTGCATTAAAATAATATTTATCTTGATTACTGAAGGTTTTTTTTTTATCCGAAGAGAGTGCCTAGATTGCCTCACCCTAACTCCTGACTACTTGAGGTGCAGTGGTCCACCAGTGTGCCTTGGGGGCTGACTCAAATACTATCTTTTTTTAATTTTATTTTTTATTTTTAAAAGAAGATAGCTTATTTATTTGTTTATTTATTGGCCTCACCACGCAGCATGGGGGATCTTAGCTCCCCCACCAGGGATCAAACCTGTGCCCTTGCATTGGAAGTGCAGAGTCTTAACCACTGCACTGCCAGGGAAGTCCTCCATCAAATACTATCTTATTATTTCCCTCACCACCCTACTTAAAATTCCATCTCGATTTAAAATGGCACTCATCATTATCTGGTATGCCGCACATTTACTTATCTATTTTTTTCTTAACTTATTTTTATTTATTTATTTTTGGCTGTGTTGGGTCTATCGTTGCTGTGCACGGGCTCTCTAGTTGCTGCGAGCAGGGGCTACTCTTCATTGTGGTGCCTGGGCTTCTCACTGTGCTGGCTTCTCTCGTTGCAGAGCACGGGCTCTAGGCTTGCGGGCTTCAGTAGTTGTGGCACGTGGGCTCAGTAGTTGTGGCTCGTGGGCTCTAGAGTGCAGGCTCAGTAGTTGTGGTGCACAGGCTTAGTTGCTCTGTGGCATGTGGGATCTTCCCAGACCAGGGCTGGAACCCGAGTCTCCTGCATTGGCAGGCAGATTCTTAACCACTGCGCCACCGGGGAAGCCCTACTTATCTATTAGTTGTTGGCTATTATTTCTTCCTGATGGGTTTTTTATTTCTAGAGACTAATACATAATAGTTGCTCAGAGGAAAAAGTTGTTGAATGAATAATTCAACATAATTATTATCAGGCAACTTTGGCTGTTGTGAGTATGGCTTTCCAGGCGTGGCTTGTGACACTCCATGATGATAATAATAATATCAAATTACATAGTAGGATAGGTTCGCCTTTAGGAGCAGACAGCCTGGAGCCAACCTCCGTGATTGCAAATTTCAGCTCTGCCTCTTATACTACCTTGTGGCCTCGGACAAGTGATTCATCACTGTGTACTTTAGTTTCATGTATAAAGTGGGGATATTTATAGGGATGAATGCATAGGTCTTTGTGAGGATTCAGTGAATTGATATATGGCATGGTCTTGGAACAGCACCTGGAATCTGGCACTCTAATACGTTTACAATATAATTATTGTATACCGTAATATAAGCTTACAGTATAATATCAGGTTAAGCTAGTTTGTTACTACCATTATATTTTGGGTGCTTGCTATGCATTCCATAATCTGTTAAATGCTTAGTACATATTGTCTCATCCAATCATTACCGTTTTATAGTAGAGAACACGGAGGCACAGATATAGGGGGAGATTCGTCCAGCCCCTAAGCTGCAAAACCAGGATTTGAGCCTGGGTACCGTGATGTCACTCCTGTCATGCTCCCTTAACCACTTTGTGAGCTGATGGTGGGAAGAGCTTCTCTAGGCTGGATACAGCTGGAAAGTTCCCTAGTCTGTAAAGAGGTGGGGGAACCTTCCCATCCCCACAGCTGAGACACTGGCCACCATCTTTATTTATTTATTTATTTTCAGTTTTAATTTTTTTTTAATTGAAATATAGTTGGTTTACAATGGTGTGTTAATTTCTGCTGTACAGCAAAGTGATTTGGTTATATATATATATATATACATTCTATTTTTTAAAATATTCTTTTCCATTATGGTTTATCGTAGGATATTGAATACAGTTCCCTGTGCTATACAGTAGGACCTTGTTGTTTGTCCATTCTGTATATAAAAGCTTACATCTGCTAACCCCAACCTCCTACTCCATCCCTCCCCTAGCCCCTTCCCCCTTGGCAACCACCGGTCTGTTCTCTATGTCTGTGAGTCTGTTTTTGTTTCATAGATATGTTCATTTGTGTCATATTTTAGATTCCACATATAAGTGATATCATATGGTATTTGTCTTTCTCTTTCTGACTTACTTCACTTAGTATGATAATCTCTAGTTGCATCCAGGTTGCTGCAAATGGCATTATTTCATCCCTTTTTATGGCTGAGTAGTACTCCATTGTATATATGTACCACATCTTCTTTATCCATTCATCTGTTGATGGAAATTTAGGTTGTTTCCATGCTTTGGCTATTGTGAGTAATGCTGCTATGAACATAGGGGTGCATGTATCTTTTTGAATTAGAGTTTTGTCCGGCTATATGCCCAGGCGTGGGATTGCTGGATCATATAGTAATTCTATTTTTTAGTTTTCTAAGGAGCCTCCATACTGTTTTCCACAGGGGCCACCATCTTTAATACCAGAGTTTTCTTCTCTCCCAGGAGTTTTCACCAAGCCCTCGCTCTCAGCCCAGCCCAGCACGGCAGTGGCCCCAGGAGTGGACGTAACTCTACGGTGTCTGAGCCAGTATAGTTTTGACCAATTTGCTCTGTACAAGGAGGGGGACACTGGGCCCTACAAGACACCTGAAAGGTGGTACCAGGCTGATTTTCCCATCACCACGGTGACTGCTGCCCACAGTGGGACCTACCGATGCTACAGCTTTTCCAGCAGATCTCCATACCTGTGGTCGGCCCCCAGCGACCCCCTGGAGCTCGTGGTCACAGGTTAGGGGTGCAGACCAAACCTTTTCCCCCCAGCCTTCACAGGCCCTGGTGGAAGCTCCAAGGGGAGGGAGCAATAGGCATGAAGAAAGTGGGAGGGCAGGAGAAGACAGAGGCTTTGGAGGGTGTATGAGTGTCTGAGTGCTGCTGTAACAAATCACCGTGAATTCACTGGCTTAAAATATCACAAATTATTACCTTACAGTTCTGGAGGTCAGAAGTCAAAAAGGGGTCCTGCGGGGATAAAACGAAGGTGTCAGCCAGCCTTCTTTCTGGAGGCTCAAGGGGAGGTTTCTGGTGCCTCTTCCAGCTTCTAGAGGTGCCTGCATCTCTTGGCTTCCATGGTCCATTGCTCCATCATCAAAGTCAGCATCATAGCATCTTCTAATCTATCTCTGACTCTTCCTCCTTCCTGCCTCTCTTCTGACACTTTTAAGGACCCTTGTGATTGGACCCACCCAGGGTCCAGGGTAATATTCCCAGCCCAAGATTCTTTTTTAAAAATTTTTTATTGGAGTATAGTTGATTTACAATGCTGTGTTAGTTTCAGGTGTACAGCAAAGATATTCAGTTATACATATACGTGTATCCACTCTTTTTAAGATTCTTTCCCATACATTACAGAGTATTGAGCAGAGTTTCTGTTTTATACATAGTAGGGTGTATGCATCAATCCCAATCTCCCAATTTATCCCTCCCTCCACTTTCCCCCTGGTAACCATAAGTTTATGTTCTATGTCTGTGACTCTATTTCTGTTTTGTAAATAAGTTCATTTGTACCCTTTTTTTAAGATTCCAAATATGAGCGATATCTTGTGATACTTGTCTTTCTCTGTCCTACTTACTTCACTCAGTATGACAATCTCTAGATCCATCCACGTTGCTGCGAATCAGCCCAAGATTCTTAACCATATCTGCAAAGTCCCTTTTGCCATGTAAGGTACCATAGTCACCGGTTCTGGGGATTAGGATTCTGTCATATTTGTTTTTGTTTTTGTGGTACGCGGGCCTCTCACTGTTGTGGCCTCTACCGTTGCGGAGCACAGGCTCCGGACGCGCAGGCCCAGCGGCCGTGGCTCACGGGCCCAGCCGCTCCGCGGCATGTGGGATCTTCCCGGACCGGGGCACGAACCCACGTCCCCTGCATCGGCAGGCGGACTCCTAACCACTGCGCCACCAGGGAAGCCCTAAATTTAATTTTTTAAAATTTTTTGGTCATGCTGTGCAGCTTGCGGGATCTTAGTTCCCCAACCAGGGACTGAACCCATGCCCTCAGCAGTGAAAGCACGGAGTCCTAACCTCTGGACTGCCAGGGAATTCCCAAGAAAAAAATGTTCATTGCAGCTCATTTACAATAGCCAGGAGATGGAAACAACCTAAGTGTCCATCATCGGATGAATGGATAAAGAAGATGTGGCACATATATACAATGGAATATTACTCAGCCATAAAAAGAAACAAAATTGAGCTATTTGTAATGAGGTGGATGGACCTAGAGTCTGTCATACAGAGTGAAGTAAGTCAGAAAGAGAGAGACAAATACCGTATGCTAACACATATATATGGAATCTAAGAAAAAAAATGTCATGAAGAACCTAGGGGTAAGACAGGAATAAAGATGCAGACCTACTAGAGAGTGGACTTGAGGATATGACAAAGTGAGAGAGTGGCATGGACATATATACACTACCAACTGTAAAATCGATAGCTAGTGGGAAGCAGCCGCATAGCACAGGGAGATCAGCTCGGTGCTTTGTGACCACCTAGAGGGCTGGGATAGGGAGGGTGGGAGGGAGGGAGACGCAGGAGGGAAGAGATATGGGAACATATGTATATGTATAACTGATTCACTTTGTTATAAAGCAGAAACTAACACACCATTGTAAAGCAATTATACTCCAATAAAGATGTAAAAAAAAAAAGAAATTTTAATACTATGAATAATGCCTTGTGATTTGTCTAGGTCAAAAAGAAAATCCACAAGCAAGCAGCAAGGGTGGTGGGAGAGGAAAGCAAGGCTGTGTTTTATTTCTAAGGCAGTTCCCTTTTCTCCCCACATGGGATGCCTGTCTTTCCCCAGATGTATCCCATAGTTTCTGTCTCCTCATCTGCTTCCCAGGAGGCAAGAGCCCGGTTTGTTCACAGGGAAGGCAGATAAGTAAGACGGCAGGTCACAGAGATCCAGAAGAAAGGAAAGCACTGAGGTTTGAAAAGCAGGCAAGGCAGCTACAGGGAGTGTTATTAATCAGCCCCAGAATGTGCTAGGTGTGCCTTTCAAATGCTACTTAGCACCCACGACAGCCCAATGATGGAAGCGTCTTTATTTTTATTTTCCAGGTGAGGAAACTGGGTTTGCTCAGGATCCCTACCTAACAGAGCACAGAATTCTCTCTCTTTTCTTTTTCTGATTTCTCAGGGACCTCTATTACCCCCAGCTGGTTGCCCACAGAACCACCTTCCTCTGTAACAGGTAAGTTCCAGAGGATTCACCCTGGTTTCCGTGGTATGAGGCACGTGGACCCCCTTTTCTTTCTCCTCTTTGTCTAGATTTCTCAGTTTATTTCATTTGCCTCTTTCACAGATTTGCTTTATTTTAAAAATTCCTTATTTCTGCTTGTAAAGAAGGTATAATAAATGTATAGCTATGACTATCCTGTCCCACATCCCCACCTCTCTCCAGCCTTTCGGGGATGGTTTATGATGGCTTGTAAAATTGTAGATTCCTGGGCTCCAGTTCTGAGTCTCTGATTCCATTGATCAGTGGTTCTCAAACTGTAGTGGGCTTGAGAATCACCTGGAGAGCTTATAAAGGACAGATTCCTAGACCCGTAGAGTTTCTGATTCAGAGGGTCTGGGGTGGGGTCCAATAATTTTCAAGTTCCCAGGGGATCCTGATGCTGCTGGTCTGGGGATGCTCCTTTGAGAACCACTGCACTACCTTTTATGTGAGCCATGGTCTTCCCAATTTTCATGGCATCTCAGCTGCTTCCGGCGGTATCGGATGTCAGCCTGTGTCTTAAGAAATAGTACACTAGGTCTTCCCTGGTGGCGCAGTGGTTAAGAATCCACCTGCCAATGCAGGGGACATGGGCTCGAGCCCTGGTCCGGGAAGATCCCGCATGCCGCGGAGCGACTAAGCCCGTGCGCCACAACTACTGAGCCTGCGCCCTAGAGCCCGTGCTCCACAACAAGAGAAGCCACCGCAATGAGGAGCCCGCGCACGGCAACGAAGGGTAGTCCCCGCTCGCCGCAACTAGAGAGAGCCCGCACATAGCAACAAAGACCCAGTGCAGCCAAAAATAAATAAATAAAATAAATTTTAAAAAAAGAAAGAAAGAAATAGTACGCTAGGCTGTGACATCTCGAAATGACACCTGACACCTCATTTCTTATTAAGCCACCCAGAAGTAGAAGGCAGTATATTTTGGGCTTTTTGAGTTTGTCTTTCCTCTGTGTCTGGATAGTGTGTGTTAGAGAAATGGGTTCCAGGGAGACTGGATATCTGAGAAGGGGTATGGAGAGTAGGGACTTACTGGGTAAACCTGGCATTACCCAGTTCCTTATAATCTTCTTGCTTAGAATTCCCAGAAGCCTCCAAGAAACTGAACCACTCACTCGTGAACGAAGTTGCCACCGCTGGTGAGTAGCCAGGCACCCAGAGCTCAGCAGAAGGGAGTCGGAGGATTGGGCTCTCTTCCATCGTCTCAGGCTGTAGGCTTTTTTTTTTTTTTTTAAATTTTTAAAATTTTACCGTGTTGTGTTTCTACTGTACAGAAAAGTGAATCAGCTATACATATACATATATCCCCTCTTTTTTGGATTTCCTTCCCATTTAGGTCACCACAGAGCATTGAGTAGAGTTCCCTGTGCTATACAGTAGGTTCTCACTAGTTATCTATTTTATACATAGTATCAATAGTGTATATATGTCAATCCCCCTCTCCCAGTTCATCCCACCCCACCCCCCTTCCCACCTTGGCATCCATACATTTGTTCTCTACGTCTGTGTCAGGCTGTAGGCTTTTAATCTGCTTCTCAAAACCACCTGATTCTTCCCAGGAAAGTCCTGGGTTTGAGGATGAGGATGGGATGGAAATGGGCTCTGTGCTTGGGGGCAGAAGAGTGTTCTGGGTAATGTGGCTGTTTCCAAGATGGCGGCACCAAGGCTATCATGGGAAGACCATAGCTCGTCCCTACACATTGCTTTTCTGATTTGGCTCTCATCCATGTGTGTAATCTTGTTCCCATTGCTTCCAGGCAGAGCCCGTGCTTCAGCCCCAAATAGATCATAGTTACCTGGACACAGTACATTTTTCTTATTCCTCCAGTCCAATGCAAATATGCTTCCTTTATGCTGCCATTCTGTTTGCCCTTGGCTTCCCCAGAAAAAAGTCTCCATTTCCCCCAAGATGGAAAACCTTTGACAGATACCCAGAGGACAGGTTAGATATCTCCACTGCGTCCACACAGTTCTAGCTTTTTTTAGGTTCCTGATGCCAGCGGGGTCTTTCTAAGACCCTGATGAGATTCCGCTTCACCCTCTGTTCAAAACCTTTCTGGGTTCCCAGTCACTCTCAGGACAGATAGGAAAACTGACTCATACATGTTAAGTCATTTGCCCAAGACCCTGCATCTAATAAGTGATGGGTCTGGGGTTCAAATTGGAACACCCTGACTCTACAGTTCATGCTCTTCTTATAACCCTGGAATTCCAGCTCCCAAGTGCATGTGTTCAGGATAGCGGTAGAAACAGGGGTAGGAGAGATGGTTCCACCCCTTTACACTTATCCTTTTTGATTCCCAGAAACTTCTAGGAATATCACCATCCTTCCAAAGGAGTCAGACCCTCCAACTGGTGAGCAAGTGTCCTTCTCTGGACCAACTTCCTTTCCCCGTCCCATGTCTTTACCCAAGGCTGGCTGCTTTCCC